AATTTAAAAATCCTGGTTGTTTACCTGTCTCCAATAAATCAGCATATTGGAAAGCAAGCCTTGGAATGCTCATCTGAGTTTCTTTAGTGAATTTACATTTATAGACTTTAAAACACAGGGATCACTAGTGTAGAGAAAAAGAATCAATATATCCAGCCCAACTTGTATCTCACTTTATAAAATGTAATTTGTAGAAGATATCAATATTCCTGTACAAATATGTTAATTAAATAATAATGAGAAGTGAAGAATTTGTGGATATATCAAACACTTTTTTTATAATATGGATGTCCCTCAGGGTGCATACCCGCTTATAAAAATCAGATCAGAGATGTAAAATATAGAAAATGAAGTGCAAATGTAGGCCACAGACTGACAGAGAAAAGTCTCTCCTCTAAAGGAAGCATGTTATTTGAATGTTCATAAAATAAGCTAAGATGAGCAGCAATCATCGAGAGGATTCTAACCTAAGCAATACATTAGCAGAAGCAGTTGGAAAATTGAGTGCTAGTTTTATTTAGTGCTACATGAGGCCTATATAAAATGAGTTTCAACAGAAATAACTCAGGCTTTATGTCAGCTTGCAATTTTAGAACATTCTTGATGAACAGCCTATTTACATGGTGTTAAAAGTTTAACTGGAAGTCAGGCACAGTGGCATGTGCCTGTAATCACAGCATTCAGGGAGGCTGAGGCAGGAGGATGGAACATTTTGAGTTTTCCCTGCACAATTTAGGAATATCTTGCATCAAAAACAAAAATAAAAAAGTGTGGGATATTTTGATCCTTGGGACCATGGGGAGGGGGAATCCTATGACCATTTGCCTTTGGTCTCTCTTTATGGAAACCACATGAGGCAAAGCAAAACTTCGAATCATTTGTGAGTTAGGCACACTGCAGTATTTATCTATCAGACTCTAAATTAGCCTATTTGTTACTGGTTTTAGAAATGAAGGCTACCTGAAAACAACCTCACTTCTGCTCTGCTCTGTTCTGCTGGCCACACCCAACCTCTTGGGTCCATGGTAAGCTGCAGAGACACGCAGGTGTTGCAGTTACTGAAATGAGGGCCACTCTTTGCACTTTAGGCAATGTTAAAGTGAAATTCTTTTCTCTCCTGCACATAGAATTCTCAGGAATCCTCCCTACTGTGGGATGACCTCTCGAACACATGTCCCACAGGTATCATTATCATGTTATGTCACTGTCCTAGAGAACTAAAATGATCTTCCTCCCTGAAAGAACATTTGAACAACCACTTAGAACACTGTGGTGTAACTTTTCTTTGTTCTTCTTCTGGGTTGAGTATACCACAGATCTCAAGTCTGGTGAACAATTCCAGGCCGACAGTGACACCCAGAGCAATGTTTCATGATGCACAGTGGCATCTTCTACACGGTGTAAGCAAATAACTTGACTTCATGTGTAAAGTTGTATGAGAAATTAGATTCAAGAATTTGGAGAAATAACAATAAGAATCATATCTTAAAATGTGTATATCATGGCAATTCTTAATGACTCCAAGATTTCTTGGTAAAAGTAAAAGTAAAAGTAAAAACTAAAGCTTTAAGTGAATAGATTAGATTTTGAAGATGAGAGATTTATAGCTATCTGTCAGTTTTAAGAAAATACATGGGCTAAATTGAAATGCTTTAACTCACATAGATGATAAAGCGAATTTTATTATGAAAATATATCGAAGGCAAAAAAGGTTAACTTTGGAAAAAGGGGTAAATAAATTATGTATTAGTATTTTAAAATGATAAGCCGATTGAACTGAGTTGGCCAATAAAATACTATTATTTGTGCTCGCCTGAAGCACAGTTGCAACACAAGTATATGAAATTAGACACAAAGTTTAGCATTTATACAAATAACTTGGAACCATCTGTGAGACTTTGTGGCATGTTAATTTTATTCAAAAGTTTCTGGTCCATTTCTCAGCATGAAATGAACTTAAATAATTCATTTCTATCTTAATGCCATTAGGAACTATTTTGATGGTGATATTTAAATGACTCCAGTTTAAGAACAAGAATTTACTGTTAAGTATAAAGGAAAAAATTGAAATACAATGATTTCCCTCTGATTTAGACTCTTTTATAAGAATATATGTATATATTATATATTATATATACTTCTCCATGCTGTTAATTTTTGGTCTAATTTACATAACAATGCATAAAAAAGTTATGACCATTGACTTCACAAAACATCTACTGTATATCCATGAACTATACTTCACTGATTTCAACTGCTCCTGTCAAATATTCCCTTATAATAGCTACTTTTCATTCTCAAGGACAGGACATTCTTAGAGAGTAAATAATTTTTTCACCCCACTTGTACTGATTTCTAAGTAAATAATGTCACTCAGAAATAGTAGCTAAACTAAAAACTGTCAAAATACTTTGGGATCATATAGACAGTTTCGTCCAAGTGCTATTTTAAGTCAGATACTTTTTTCTTTTTCTTCTAGAAAATATGTCAAATATATATTCTATGAAGAATCAGGAAACTTTATGTGTATTAAACAGAATCAAAATCGAGTTTTATCAGTGTGACTTTTAATACTTACTTTGTCCTTTACTAAATGTGAAGCAAAGCAATTTCCTGATCAGTTAGGTATTTTTAATACTATTTTCTGTAAGTTTCTATGAAAACTTGAAGTAGCTAATTCAAGCCATTTCAATAAAAAGAAAATAGGAAAGCATAAATCTTAAGAAAGAAATAAAGAAAAAAAACAAATCCTTACCCAAACCAAGTAAAATTTGTTTTATAATTGTTTATACCTATTGTAAAGATGGGAGGTTTCATTTTGCTGCTCTTCTTCTGTATGTAGAATGTTTTAAAAAGTTTAACAGACATAGTCAATATTTTCATAGTGGTTAACCTATTTTAATTACTACATAATATTATTTTTCACAGAGGCAATGGATTTTTTGTTTTGTTTTACATCTTAAGCTTGGAAATCTCAATAAATATATGGCAAATATATTATCAAGTGGTGTAACAAAAATATAATTTTTTCATTTTTATTCTGTTGGCTTTACGTGACAGGCAACAATTAGGAACTTACTTTCTTTTTTATCTACGATGTGGGTTTTTCTCTGTTTGTGTCACCTTCCTACTGTGAACATAGCAGACTTGCAGAACATAATCAAGGAAATTTTGCATCCCATCTTGGTGCCTGAAGACGAATCTCACTCCACGTCCTGATGTCAATCTGTAACCACCTTCAGGGATGCCCCGCTGCTCTGGCAGCCTAATGGAGCATGCGCAGAACAGTGGGCTGAGCCTCAACCTCCCCTTTCTTACTACTGGCTCCAGAACCCTTTGGCTTTACTCTTCCTATCTTTGTCCCTTCCTCAGACTGAATGAGAATAAAAACCCCACGTCCTTTTACATATTTTATGTTAATAAAGTTTCCTTTTTTGAAAGCCTGCTTCCATACCATGAACAGCATGACACATAGACTTCTCCAGGCTTCACAGTCAAAGTTCCTATAATGCTGACCCACCGAGCCTCTGGGAGAAGAGTTGTGCTGATCAAAAGTTAATATGACCCTCACTAATAAAACGACGAGTGACCATCAGGCACACTACAGCTAATGTTTTGCCTCCAAGGTGGAGAATTTCACCCTTTTGTGGAATGTTATCCAACCTCAGGCTCTGAGAATGGATACACTGACTTGATTGTGTATCTTAGAAAAGTGAACAGTGGTTGAATTATTCAAACAATGTGTACAGAGTGTTTTTCGGTCAACCCTTAATTACTGCTGACATTTAATCATCCTGTGGTTGGACATGGTAATTGCAGAACTAGGACTGGCATAAAACACTGATCCTTTAAGTCTCTTTAGCAAAGTCCTCGGTATGAAGAAAAGCAACAACATTAGCTTATGTTCTTAGATAATTATAAAACTAAAAGAGAATGCTATATCTAACATTTTTACATTACTTGCATGATATGGCTGCAATCACAGAACTATTATTTGAGGTTTTAGTAATATGTCTACTTTCCAGAAATGAAAACTGAAGTCAAAGTTCCAGCTGCATCTCTCGGAAGAGACGGCTGTGGGCTTGGATGAGTGGATGCTAAGGGCCCATCATTAGAGACGGTCTCCAGGGTGGCATCTTTAAGAGAGGAGGGGCCCTTGAAATGTGGGTGGCTGTCCCAGTTCTTAGGACCCTGGAGACTGACCCCCAAGGAGGACTAGGGGAGCTTGCTCACTTTTCCTCTGCATGCTGGGTCTTGAATTGAGCAGACCGCATTCCCACACATACCCATTATGAAAGGCCCGAGGAATGGGGTCATTTGATCTTGAGCTCAGACTTCTAAAACTGAGCAAAAACAACCCCTTTTTCTTTATCTCCTTTCTTGATTGCTTCCAGTGTTTCATTATAGTGACAGAGAGCTGACCGATACAGTCACAAAGTCAGATTTGAATTCGACCTGTCTGACCTCACATTCTTTATTTACTCTAACTGGCAATACTATGGTGCCTAAGGCTCATACATTGGTAGGTGAAAACAGAAACAATAAAACCACAGATTGGAATTTAAATGAAAGTTATTTTGGGCAGAAAAGTTCTTCCCAGAATAGGCCACATTAATATTACACATGTACTTTGTACATGTCAACTTGAATTATGCCATACACATGAGTACAAATAAGATAAGTCCATAGCCTACTTCAGTAATGAATCAATCAAGAGGCAATAAAAAGTTCAGGACCCTACAAGTTGTATCAAATTATGTATGTGATAACTCAAGGCAAATATACATATGAAAGAAGTTAAAGGCCAATTTTCACACACTGGAGCACATTATTAACACACCCTAAGCCACAGGGCTGTAGTGAGCTTTGTAGACAACGGACTGAATGATTTCATGACCTCAAAGTGCTCTTTGAATTCTATAAATATACAGATTTATTTGCACAAGTACACATAAACTCACACATACGTATGTAAGTACATGTGCTATTTTGGCCAATATTTTACATTACTAGTATAAAAGAAATCTTCACTCCAAATTCTCAACAATCTGATGATTGTTTGGCTGAGAGAATGGTCCTCTCTGAAACATAAATCCTGTTCTCCAGCCACCTCCTCATCCATTTCCACTTCAAAACAGACCCTAAGAGAGGAAAAAACTCAGCTTGTGGAACCAGTAGGTTGCTTCTGCCCTGAATGGTGCCTTCTGTCCAGAGAGCAGAGGCCACCTGCGCTGCCGAGACACACCGACTCCTGGCACTGTAGCCTGTCTCTCTACTTGAGGTTATAAATAGCAATTTCCCGTCCACCATCACTTGTGGTGCTGCCATATGTTGTCACATCAGAGAAGGCCCAAGCAAGCACAGCCTGGCTATTGTTTGTCAACACTCAACTGGCAGAGCTGTGATTGAGCCAGCAGTTCCTGGGCAGCAGCACAATCGATTTCCGAGGCACTCCATTTGTCTGTGCAGCTTTGAGCTACACATGTCATTTATTTTTTAAACTAGTTTCAAGGTTTGAGTAGCCCAGCTGTGCTGTTAGGAGACTATTCAACACCCGCCATCCCTTTCTTTCTTAATTTAAACTACACAATTGTAGCAGTAACTGGCCTTGTGGGACTGGATTTCCAGCTGGTGGTGAACTGTCATCAGTTGTAGGCTACTCCAGCAGTCTCCGCCTCCTCACTGATGATTATTTAGCCACGGCTAGGTGACACCACTCCAATCAGGTGGATGAAAGAGGAAGGCTGCCGGCTGCTGCTGGGAAAGCTTTCACACTGCTAAGAAGGGATATCTCTTTCCCTACGGAGAATACCAGTGTCAGCAAACGACTCCAGCAGCTGTGGCAGGTATGTAGGAGGTGCTGGCCTCAGGTCACCCAGCAAAGTCAGGACAGAGAGATTTTAGAGTCATGACAAGATAGTACAGCCAGGAATCCATGGGTGTGGGCTGCTGGGGTGTCACTCACTGATAGAGCGCATCAGGACCATGTGCCAGGCTCAGAGTTAGAGCTCCAGCACAGAAAAGAAAAAAAAAATAATAATAATCATCTAACTCTGGGCTTGTTCTGGGAAAGACATCATTTTCCATAAACTGTGAGATGGCAGGTAAAGGATTCTCTTTTGTATTTGTTGTTTGTTGTTGGTTCTTCTTCCTTTTTCGTTTATGATCACTTGACTAGTAGATGAAGCAGTTAATCTTGTTACACAGTTGAACTGAAGAATGAAAGCATTTTATGAGGATATGGAAGTAGTATAAATTTTTGAAATATTTGGAACTTCATCCACAACCCACTGACTATGGCAGATATCGCAGTTTTTATAAATGTCCAGTCTTACATGAAATTAGAGTAGAAATAAACATTAATGCCAGTTATGAAAATATCTGCAGCAGCTACATCCTGATACAGTAATCAATGGTCTGAACTTTTTTAGCCCTCTTTGAACAGTGAGAAATCAGACATGACCTCAGACTTACGCACTCGTGCTTCTTGTCCCAGTAAGAGTGGTGATGAGATGCAATGCTATTACCACCCATCCTCAGCCCTGCTTGGTTTCCTCAACAGAATGCACAAATCACTTCATCTGGAAACCTGAGGATGGGTGGAGATCAGAGTCACTTGAGAACTCAACTCCTGCATTAAATCAAGATACCTTCCTTCTACTGCTATTAACATTTGAACAATCCCCTCTGCTCCAGTCCTCACATGTCCACTTCCCCTTCAAAGAAACGGTATCTCTTGGATAGTTCTTTACTAACACAAGTTTAACTTCCTGGTTTTTTTTTTCTTCCTATGTTGTTTCTCAGTCCTAAGCAAATGGGTTCTACTTTAGTTGTTCCGCTTTTGGTATTAATCAGTCTACTGTTTACTGTTTCAATCAAGAACTTGCATTTACCAATCATGCTTTTCATTTACATGTAATTACTCCTTATCTTGAATTGATTTTTCTCTGTAACTGCTCTATTTTTATGGATGTAGCATCTTCTTATATCTTTTAGGGAATATAAAATTGTAATTTTCTATAATTGTATCCTGGAGATATATATATATATACATATATATGTATATGTATATATATACAGAGAGAGAGCAAGAAAGAGAAAGTGAGAAATAGAATAAGAGACAGTCCTCTGAAATCCAAGTGTTTACCTTAGAGCTGCAATATTTTTCATATACATAATAGGCCTTGTGCTATTTTGCTGTTAGATCATTTGCAAGTCTCCCTGGAGAGTAAATGAACTGACCCCTGAATGATTTGAAGGAATAAACAATTCCTTCAAAAGGATTTAGTATAGAAATAGCCAGAGAAAATGCAGGAGCCTGAGTAGGGGCAAGCTTGAAGAGACTGAGGAGCTAAAAAACACAGTATGGCTGGAGTGTAGTGACTGAGGAAGAGAATTCGCTCTGCAAAGGGAGCCAGCAGCAGCCTGCAGTTTCCCTCCACAGCGTCAGTGAATTTCTCAGAGGAAGTAAAACTCTCAGGGCAGGAATTACAGAGACCATATCAGAGATGTAAGATACAGGGCTTGGATCAAGTCTAAGACGAATCACTTCTGAGAAGACCAAATGCATGATTTAAATAATTAAAGCTTTCAGAAATTAACATGCAGTCAAAATTAGTAACTTGGCAAATTTGTTCAGAGGAGTCAATAGTTAATTTTTTATCATAATATAAAAAAAAATCTTGAATGTTTGATATTTTTTTCTTCTTAAACATATAAGGGCAAAATTATTAAATAGTTGAATTTGGAAAAGCAGTGTACATTTATGAATATGCATTAACCATGAAATTATAAGAAAGACAGGGACAAATAATTTATTTTGTAATTTTCATTTTATAGTTTGGTTAATTTGTGGAAGATTTTAGTGCTAAGTGCCGAAGGCGGGGCTTGAAACTGAGTTCGTATACTCCTTGTTCGCTTAACTTTTTCTTCAACCAGCAATGTGCAAATACCTTCTTGTGATCCCTTAACTCTAAAAGAAATTTTTCATAAAGAATCAGGAAAGGCTTGGTATTTGAAACACAATGTTTCTAATTTAATTTGATATAGTGTTTTCTGATACAACCCGGCTCCCCGTGACCTGTGCCAAGTGTGCGCTCCATGGCCACAGGTTCATCAAGTGCCAGGAACTGCTCTTGCCTTTCCTGTGGTCTTGCCCAGGCCCCTACTGTCTTGAGTGGTGACAAAGTCTCTACCTTGATTTTGAGGCTTAATCTTTTTCTTAGAACATTTTTATTCTGCAGGAGAGCAAAGACAACTTTTTCAAAATCTATCAAAGCCTTTCTTGTAATCATATGAAGCACAGAATTCAGTGCTGGTATTGTGGGTGGCGGTGGCATTTGAATCTTTTCACAAGTTTATGTAATTGTTCAGAATTCCTAGAAACAAGAGTAATAACAAAGGGATAATTATGTGATTACAGAAAATAAATATCAAGCTTACACTCTCTACCTTCGAATGTTTCCTTCATACGCTGGACATTTTCCACTAGAAAGAGCCCCTCTGCAAACTGTCAGGGGCTGGTTTTGTCATCTGGCTGCCTAATTCAGACTGCTTTATCACAAGCTCTATTCCTAAAACTTCCAGCTTCTATTTGTTGATGTTGCCTCTCCCAATAGGGTGAGGGTTTTTATGGGTCTGATAAAAGCTGTGGTCAATATTTAAATTGAGGAAACAGTGACTACAGTAAAAGATGCATCGCCCTTAACCCTGTCCACGCCTTCCCCTCATTTGTGGGAGATTCCTTGCAATGTCTTTTACTAAATTTTAAATTCACACCGTATGTATCTCCATCACTTCAACCCTACCTGGTCCTTATCTGCAGATCTCTCTCCTAGTAGGCAGAGTATAGAAACAGTCTCAGTCCAGCCCTGTACCCTTCAACTGGATGCACAATCAAATGCACACTCTCATGAGTATGACAGAAGAATGAGCTGGATTTCAGAGACCATGTGGTTTAAATTTCACAGAAACTATATCAAGGTTTTGATTCTCATAAATCGTATGCACCAGTACACTAACAACTTTTCTATTTAAAAACAAAAAAGCTAATTTTTTGACATCTTCAGCTTTGGCTGTTTTTCCCCCATTAAAGTGGTAAAATCTGAAAAAATTATTTATTTCTTGGTAAAGCTGTTTAATAGTGTCATTCAAGGCTTCTGTATCCTTATTGATTTTGTGCCGACTTGTTTTATCAATTATTAGGCTAAAACTTTTGAAATTTTGGAATATAATTGGGATTTTGGCTTTTTAGCCTTAAAGTTATAACAGGTTTTACTCTATTTTGAAATTCACTTATTTAAATACAAAAACATACTGAGGATAGTTAATTCCTTCTACCTAAATATCTCCTTTATAAATAAGAAACGAGCTGCTTTTTTCTGGTAGTATTCTTTGACCTAATGGTCTCTATCTCTTAGTACTATCCCCCAGTTAACTGTAGTTTAAACTTTTATTTATTTTTAACTGCTACATAAAACATGACATTGTACATATTAACGGAGTAGCTCAATATATTTATACATTATACAATGTATAAATCAAGTTAGAAATATGTATCTCCTCAGACATTTACTATTTATTTATGGTAGAAACTTTCAAAATCTTTTCTTTATCTCTTTGCAACTTTGTAAACTTTAGTTTTGTAGAAAAGTTGTGAAGACAATAATACACAGCATTCTATAACTTCAGTTTTCCCTAATGCTGAGAATTACACTGCCATGGTACATTTTTCACAACTAAGAGATCAACTTTGGTTTGTTACTGTTAATTGAACTCCAAACCTCTCCAGGATCACCAGTCCCATAGGTCCTGACATTTCTGTATTTCAGGGTCCAGCCCAGGACGTACACTGGAGTTCATCATCTACCATCTTAGCCTCATGTAGTGTGGGATAGCCTGTCTTGTTTCTCATGGTCTTTGCTGTTTTGAAGACAGTGTAAACCATTATCTTGTAAACTTTCTTTCAATCTGAGTTTCTCTGATGATTTTTTTTTAGACAATGTTTTTTGCAAGAAAATTGCAGAGGGGAGCTGCCCTGTCAGAGCGAGCCTGGGATGGAGAAACCTGGGCTTACATCTCCACTGAGATGACCATCGTGGGTAGAGAAGGAAGCGCTGCATCTACTGGTGCTTGGATGCTAACACTCCTGTTTTCCCCACTGAGTTCTCCCTTCTTAGGAACTGTATCACCTCACTCAGTCTACACTCAAAGTGAGGGTGAGGATAGCAATGGGAAGAGGCTGTGATTCATCCTATTTATGGAAGGGGAGAGTATCTGTGTTTCTGTTTTGTTTCTAATGATCTAAATAAAGCTTGTTTCTTTCCTTTATTTGTTTAATTAATGAGTTATATCAAAATGGACTCATTTTCTTTTATACTTTATGTATACTTTATGACAATCAAGATTGTCATTCTGTTCTTTTTCTTGTTTATGTGCTAATATTATAGTTATCTTTTTGATCTACTTAAGCAATGCTCTAGTTGTATTTCATAAAATATGATATAACTGTATCATATTTTTCTTTTTTGTGAAAATTAATATATTAGTTTAGAAAGTCTTATATGCAGTAAATAACCGAAAAGTGTTAGTTACTATCACTATTCCTGAAAATAATATAAATCAAATCACACAGTCCTTATACAGTGAGACAATATCATAAAATATCACAGGGGAGGGCTGGGGATGTAGCTCAGCAATAGTGTCAGCTTAGTAAAATGGGAAGCTTTTTCTTTTTTTTTTCTCTGGTACTGGGGATCAAACTTAGGACCTTGTACTTGGAAGGCAGGTGCAGTGCCACTGAGCTAAATCCCTGGCCAACTTTATCATAATTGACCTAATTGTATCTGCAAATTCTCTTCTGAATTCTTTTTTCATTTAATAATGCAACTTTCAAATTTCAATATTGGGGGAATTTTCCAGATAACTCTTCATTATTAATTTATACTTTAATCACATTGTGATCAAAAAGAATAATCCATATGTTTTCAAGCTCTGAAATGTACCGAGGTTATTTTGTGGCCCTGAATATAGCTTATCTTAGTCACAGCTCCATGCAGAGAATGTCAAATAGGACATGGCATGAGTATCTTAAATGTCAAGTAAGTCAAGTAAGGTTTTACTCTCAAATATTTTACAGCATAAAGTTTTGTGTGCTTATTCTGTCAGTCACTGTATGGAAGTATTACTACTCTGTTAGTAAATGTTAAATTAGAAATAATAAATTAAATTTAAAATGTTATTATTAATATTAAATTAATATAAAAGAGAGATTGAAATATACTTGTAGATTGAGATTATTTTTTAACCTCTGTCAAATTTTGCTTCATATATTTTAACTATTTTGTTTCATTTATTTATTTGTTTTTGCATTAGGTATTGTAATACCCACACATAACTTTCAAATGTATAAATACAACTTCATACATAATGTTAGAAATATAGCAAGAAACTTAACATTGTCCCTGTATTAGTTTTCTATTACTAGGACAAAATGCCTGATATACACAGTTTAAAGGAGAAAAGGGGTTTTTTTTGGCTCACGGTTCCAGGTGTTTCAGTCCATGGTTGGCTGCTTGCAGGGCAAAAACATCATGTTGCAAAGTGTAGCAGAGGAAAGCTGCTCAACTCATGGCATCCAAGAAGGAGAGATGGGGGAGAAGCCCACATGGAAGGGCCAGGAGCCTGGTACAGTCCCCGAGAACTGTTGCCATGACCACCTTTGTCCCTGGGGCCTGACTCCAAATAGCTCAACTGCCAGTCAGTAACCTCACAGTGAGCAGCTCCAGGAATCTCTTCATCCAAACAAGTTGGCCACCAGCACCACTCAGCACAGTGCAGTTTAGGCACTTTATGAAAGTTTTTGTTCTTTTTCATTTCACATATATGTTATAAACTCTACATTTCATTACTTCCTCAATTATCTTTAAAAGAGATTTAAAATAAAATATACTTATTTTATTTACCTGCATTTTTACCAGTTTTGTACTCTTCACTTTTTCTCCCTCTGGCTACTTTTACTTTTTAAAAAATCAGTTTTTATTTGCTTTTCAGCAATTGGTTTATGACACTGCTTCATGTGGTTTTCTTTACATTTCCTGTTTGAATTTAATTTGATTTGCTTATATATCTATGCTAGAGATACAAACATATTTGGAAAAGTATGGCCATTAGTTTTTAATTTTACTCTTTCCACATCTCTTTTTTTCCTTCTCATATTCCCCTTACACGTATGCTTTACTTCTTGACATCCTATCAATGACGCAGGTTGTGTTCATTTGACTTGAGTTCATTTGATCTTGTTATCATCATGCTTTATTTTATCTAAATTCTATAGCTATGTCTCAGAATTCACTGGTATTTTTCTGAAGTATTTAATTTTCTCATAATATCATATAAAATATTTTTAATTTTAGTCTTTTTCCACCTACTTGCATTTCAGTATCTTCTACCTTTCTCTGCATACTGTATATAATTTTCTTTTATCTTTGAATATGTTATAAGAATTTTAATAGCTATTTTAAGGTCCTGTTGAAACATTCCAGCATTTTCACCATTTCTGGCTTATTTCTAATGGTTGCTATTATTTTTTCTCTTGAAAAATAAACCAACAGATTTACACTGTCAGCTGCAGGGTTTTGTTGTCGGTCTCTGATGGGTGCTGGGTCTTATTCTGTGTACCCATTTTCCTTCTTTGCAGATGGATTTCATCTCACCAGGGCCTGTGTTTGAGTACTGTTTTGTATGTTTGCCTTTCATTCTTCATGGTGGCCACAGAGAGGCCTGTGTTTCGTGTCCAGCCTGGGGCTGAAGGAGGTAGCACAGGACAGGTCTGCGTCCTGCAGGTCATTCCCAGCCTGCTGACCCTGGGACCCGTGCCCCATGCCTGCTGCTTCCTGGGGATCTCTGATCAGTGATGAGGGCCCCACTCACCTGCACACAGTAGGAGCTGCCAACACCCTCAGCAGCCCCTGGGGAGGACTCCAGAAACTCTGTCGTGTGCTGTTCTTTTGCTATCTTTGCCTGAAAATTCTGCCTACCTGGACCCTTACCTCTCCCACCATAGCTCACATGAGCCTGCTGGGCTGTGCTCAGCTGTCCCAACCTGTGTTTTGGCCTGGAATCCACCCCCAGACACAAGCTGGGCAGTGGTCACGTCTGGTTTCCTCACTCCCTCTCCCAGGTGTCACACTCTTTTGTCTACAGTTGGAAAGTCACTGTGTCATATACTTTCTCCAACTCATCAGTGAGTTACATAGAGGAGCTCATTCTAGCAATTAGCCATTCATGCAAGGAAGCCAAAGTTATATCCAGTCATCTTCTAGTAAGTGCATTATTTAGAAATAAAGAATAAAAATTTCATTATAAATTCATCTTGCAAGCCAAATCAGAAAGACAACACAAAATTAAACTCTGTAAAATATTTGAATAAAGTTAAATATTGTGTCATATTGTACCAAAGAGTGTTTCATCACTTTTATTTCTATTAAGTAAATATTTTTAATCAACACCTTTTCACAATGATTTGCTTAAAGCACACTAACCATAATAAATGAATAGCAGCCCATTTAGACAGCTTTATTAGTGCTTCAGTTAGTTTACTTATGTTCCCTTGGTTATTTTTGCATACAGAAACATAAGGGAAATTGTAAATGTATGTATTTCTAGAAAGTTCCTCGGTCTTTTACTATTTTTATTAAGGTCTAGATGGCATGCAACAAAATATTTTAGAGATGAAACTTTTTTAAAATTAGTAGCATCAATGAATATTAAAATTTTTATCTGTGGATTGCTTATATATATGTGATTTTTGTCTAGACATATGTGACACTATGTCTAAGGTGATAATAAGGAGTCGTCTTTTTCCACAACTAGAGAATTAGTTAACTGCTAAGAAAATAACTAAAAACTAACCACTTTTTAAAAAAACCAAAAAGTAAATTTTCATTTTCAGTTCATTAATAACTTTTACATTTTTTAAGAAATTAAAAATAGACAATGTTATGAAGTATGTTGCAACATGTAATGTGCTTTATCACGACCTAGCAGATATCCAAGGCAGTTTACAAGAGGAAATTCAGGAGTGTCATACTGTCCACCATGGTGCTGTTCAACATTTCTCTAAATAGTTTTGGAAAACTATATCGTAAGAAATGATTTTCTTAAAATTCATCCTGCAGAGCAATACAGTTACACCAGAGTAAGAGAGCAAAGTAAGCTTGGGGATTTGAAATTATTCTTTCATTTTCCTAACCCCTGAGAGCAAGGGTAAAGAGGAAGGGTCCAGTGGGAGCCTGCCCAGAGTGTGGACTGAAAGCAGAGTTGAGGGCTCTACTTCCTGCCCACATGGTGTGATGCAGGAAGGTTCCTTGCTCTGCTTCTTATGCAGGAGTGATATTCCACCACATTTCCCAAATATCGTTTCCCTGTGTGTTAACTCCCTCAACTCTGACTCTTTACAGTGAAGATGCAGTGTATTATACGACAGTGGTACTTTCCAGATAATTTTCTTTGTTGGGATCCTGGAATAAATGAACTGTATCATATCACATTTTGTCCTGGTAGCAGGCTACAGAAATTCATCCACAAGGCCACATGATGTAGAATAATAAATTTCTCAATTAGTTTAAAAGTGATTCCCATAATTTTGGGGGAAAAACATATGTACATTAAAGCTAGAGTTTATGAAGAAAAAAATCATATACAAAAGATATCTCAGTCAAATCTTCTTACAATGCATTTTGGATGTCTCTACAGTGAATGGAATAACAGACAAACACACTTCCCCTAGTGGTGCTTCAGCAGGCGAAGCTAAAGCCAAAGACTCAGAATATTCCTTTTTGGATTTGTCAGATATAGGACAAAATGTTGAATTTTCAGAAATTTATAGAAATATTTCTATATCAAAGCCTGATTAATATTACAAGAACAATAAAGGATAGTAATTTAACTTTTAACCAAGAATTTTGATCACTAGTACCACATCTCAGATGTTTAAGATTCAGAGTATCAGCCACTCCATGGACGCAGGTTTGGAAGGACACCCAAGAAAGAGGATGCCCCGCAATGTCATCACTCTGTTCCTATGAAGTGCATCTCTATCAGCTCTGCACTAAAACCATGGCCCTGGTGAGGTGAACCAAGCAGTGACCCTACAGGTGCTGTGTTTGCTAAAACAAACCCTAGGTTGCCAAGGACAAAACTGAACAGTGAAGACTCTAATTCCTTTTCTCTCAAGGCCAAAACATAAAAGCAGTATGAATTTTCCCATGGTACAGACAAGGGGAAATTGAAGAAATGAAATGACAGAGTTACAATTCTGCAATATGGAGCACAGGATGTGGCATCATTAATTTATTTGCTTTTTAGGCTCTTGCTCATTCAAAATAGATGTTCCTATGAAAAAAGAAAACCCTGCAAAGTCGGTTGATGATCATGAATTACTGTATTTCACAGATGTTTTCACTTTAAAATGGAATATTATGATGGAGCTAAAACTTTGTACCACCATTACTGTAATTTGCATACCATTACCGGCTATGTTTATGTTTTGAAAAGTTGAAATGTTTTTCAGCTCATCATAACCTGGCACTAATGATTCTTAGTACATCTGTGGAAAACCAACATGTAGGCAGTTTCTCCAGCTCAATCATCTTGGATGAGTTTGCACTGTCTTCCAAAATATTCAGCTAGGCTTTGCTCTGCTCGGTACTTAGAAACTGTGCTTCACGTCTATGCGATCTGAAACTTAATGAGCTGGTAACAAATCAAAACTGTGTGACAGCGTGTGAGTGAAGTCTCACTCTGGCAGCTGTTTAGTGGAAGACTTTCAGTGGATTTATACCATATTCCAGGAAAGCCAGGTCGTTTTCACTCTGGATTCACAGAGAGTTAATGTTTGCCTGCAAACAATGAAGTGAATTCTACTTAATTCAGCATCTGAAGTTTAGAAAAACCTCAAATGCTGCAGGTGCCAATGAAGAAGGCTTTAATGGAAATAATTTTAAATGTAAAATATTTCAGGAAAGAAACCGTCAGTAAAGTTGATGTAGAAATTAAAGAGTGAAATCCAGTGGTAACAAACCATTAACAGATGTGAGCATTTAAAAAAAATAAAATAACCATAAGGTAGAAACCAGAGCTATCAGTGCATGGTTTCATTATCCATTATCTTCAACATAAGAATGATTTTCAAATACTTCTAAATTGTTCCGAGCATAGCCACATTTTTTAGTTGCCTGTTTTCTACATAAAGGTGAGAATATCGTACCATTAACTACATGCATAATAGTAATGCTAAAATTACCCAAGGACTGTCTTGCATTATGCAGCATTTCCTGCATGAAATAGGTTTTAATAGCACCAACCTCCTACTGGAGTGCAGCATAACTGTGTGCATTATTAGCTACAAGCAAAAAAGAATATCTTGAGCCTTAGGAAGCTAAATATTAAGCATTTCTGATATAAAAGAAATTCAGAGGAAGCCAGTACAAAGCAGGTATGGCTCCCTCACAATGATAAGAGAGACCTAACTTCACGTTTATTTGCTCTCCCCCCAGAATATTGTTTAAGTTGTCTCCTTTAATTACTATCACAAATTTTATTTTATTGTGAATAAAACACTGAGCAGTGGATTAAGCTGCCTAAGCAACATTTGAGTATACAATATAGCATTGTTGCCTACTGGTGCAAAACT